CTTGTCCCTTCATTCTTCTACCTTCACTTTCTCGCACACAATATCGTGTTTCTCTCAGCTTTCTGCTAGCTTCACTCTTCTCCCTTCTCTTTCTCCTCTGCTGTTCCTCATACACGAGACATATCCTTTAACTCTCCTTCAATTTTCCTCGACCTTTGTTCTATCCCTTCATTCTATTCCTTTCTTCGGTCGCAACATCGTATCTCTCAGCTCTCTGTTAGCTCCACCAACTCTTCTCCTTCCTCACCTCAGTTTTTCATAAACATTTATATCTTCCAACTCTTCATCCATTCTCAGTTCTCTCTTCCTCCCATAGCACGCGAAATCTTTCAATGTTCTCCGTCCGACCTCTCGTCTCGCGTTCATCATTCTTCAGTCACCCCTGCACCCTCGTCAAAGAAGAAAGCTTCGTTAAAGATTACTCGCATCGCGGATCGCAGAATCGTTCCGCACATTCTCTCCTCCAGAGTCCTCCAAGGGAGAACCTTCCACCGTCAGATTTCCCACGCGCAATTATCGAAACGATTGCGAACGACAATCCGACCGGTTCGGACACCGCTCTCCAGACTCGCGACGAATTCCTGGTGTTCCGCCATTCTATTTCCCGGCGCACTCGAATATCCCCTCGCATCTTCCCGCGGCTCCCAGGATATCCTGCGGATCTTATTTTTCGTCGACGCTGCGATCGTCGCACGAGATTCGACTGAGAATTACCCGTCCTCCCGGGCTGAGCCTGTCCCAGAGCCAAACCGTCGCGCGCTACCGCCCCTCCCCTCCCGGTGGCTATCAAACCGGAGATCGGATGACGCGGCGTTACTCAAAAATCGCGGAAACTTCGGAATCCCCGGCTGGAAAAAGTTTTTAACCCGGCCGAGTCCGAAGCCCACTCGACGTGCCTCGCGATGCATGGATACTCGAATCGCGACGCTGCCTGCCCTCTCTCTCTCTCTCTCTCTCTCTCTCTCTCTTTCTCTGCTATCGTATTACTGCCAGAGTTTACCCGCGATTTCTCCAAGAAACGGGAAGAACGAGCGTCGAGAGACGGGTCCTCGAGTCTGGCGCAGCTTCGATTCGATTAAACCTGCTGCGATCCCCGATTCATCTATATCCTCGGAGTATTACCGAGGAACAATAGGAATACCTACAATATCAACAAGTCCCCTATAGAATACTCAAACCTAGAGTACCTAACGCAAAACCAGACTGCGACTAACTAGAAAAAACGCGTACAAATCGAACGAAACGGTGTTGATAGAGACAACGATCAAACGCAGCAGGGTTAACGTATCCTAAATGGACGTTGCAGAACCGGTGCTGAAAGGGACGATACCAGCGGAAAACAGCGATCAACGCAGTGCTTGTGTGAAAACGTGCGTGTTCGCCGTAGGCATTCGATCTGTACCGATCCAACGGAACCGAGAGTGCAAGAGGGACGTTCACCACGCACGCCAGGGAACCAGGGGAAGGGAGATAGTCGAGGAACTCGAAGCCAGCTCGAGTATCACGGAGATCGTCCGAGCGCGGATCTAGCGCGAGCGTCCCGAGGATGGATCTCGCGCTGCTCTTTCTCGCGGTGCTTCTCAGGCAAGAAGGTGAGTCCGATTCGAATCGAATCCTTTTGCCTGCTGCTCCAACAAAGATCGCGTGAAGTTGATCGACGCGTTTCCGGACACGTTCCTCGAGCCGTCGCTGGAAGTCTCGCCGTTGCCCTTCGATCTACGCTGATCGAATAATTCTGTAGCGAGCGTGCTGCACGGAGTCCTAATTTGAAAACGGTCGTTTCCTGTCCGTCCCAACGCGCCGATATCGCGCGGCTAGACGCCGTTGCTGAATAATCTCCCCCGTCGCCGGGAAATTACGAACAGGACGGTGCGCCGGCCGCCGCGGCGCGAATGCTGACTCCCGTGTCTCGGCCGGGGGAGGGGGCGCTTTAAAAATGGCACTCTTTCTAA